AAAAAAAAAAAAAAAAAAAAAAAAAAAATGCATAGGAAATATCAAAAATGTCATAGCTCGGCGCCTGTGGCTCAAGTGGCTAAGGCGCCAGCCATATACACCTAAGGTGGCGGGTTTGAATCCAGCCCAGGCCCACCAAACAATGACAGCTGCAACCAAAAAATAGTCGGGCATTGTAGCAGGCACCTGTGGTCCCAACTACTTGGGAGGCTGAGGCAAGAGACTCGCTTGAGCCCAGGAGTTGGAGGTTGCTGTGATGCCACAGCACTCTACCCAGGTGGACAGCTTGAGGCTCTGTCTCAAAAAAAAAGAAAAAAAAATGTCAAACATATTATTATAGCCGTCTGAAGAGTTTTTTAAAAAAGAACAAATTTTCATGATTTTTAATTAACATAGAAAGCTCAGGCCAAATCTACTTAAGAAAGGTATTTGTTACCCATTTTAGCAAGGGACTTATTGTTAAGATTATATTCCTACCCTTCTGTTTTCCAAGGGGTCCAGGTGTAACTAGGTGTCAAGAAAGCATCAGCACTTCTGGGAGTCATGGGTGTGACTTGATAGGTCTTCAGACCTTCCAGGGGCTGAAACATAAAATCCTTTGGTGCAAAGGAATTCTTCCCTTTCATTTTTACAGTATTTGTCTTGGGTGAGTTTTCCATCTTTAATGAGACTCCATCTGGATCTATTACATTTATAGTAGTTTGTGAATCCAACGTATTTTCTTCATGATCAACTTTACAAGAAATATCCTAGGATGCAAGTAAACAGAGTAAGAATTTCTCTCTTCTATGGATACATTCAACCAACTTTTATAGGCCTGACAAGGTGATATTTCAAATTTATGTCCCCAGTACATAATTTGAGAGACAAAACACATAAATTAAGTGCTTAGTGGAATCAGAAGACCAGCTATACTAAGTCATTGCTATGGTCTGGGAACAGTGTACCAATTCTTTTTAAAAGACTAAATAAGCACCTAAGAGGCACTACAATAAATTAAAATATATGAAAATTAATATGGAAAAATGTATTCAACAAAGATATTATCTTTTTACTTAAATTGTGTTGATAATTACAATGGTTTGGAAATCAAAAATTTAACATGTATTCAATGACTGCTATTGTTAAGAACCAAATCCTTGTTAAATAACCATACATTAGGAACCATATTGCAAGAGCAATATTTTTTATATGACAAAGATTAATCAGATAAAATATAAAGCAGATACAAAATATATATAAAAAACAGATTTTTTCAAGTCAATTTAATTGTCACATAGATTTTAAACTTAATTATTATAGTTTCAAAGTATCTGATTTTTAATGAGATATGAACTCAAACCAGGGTATTTCAACCCAGAGAGGAGTTTGAGTGGTAACTCTGTCCCTGAGGCCAGCAAGACAATGAAAATAAAGACTAGTGATAATCCTCAAGGCAAAAGTAATCTGACGGGAGGAGCAATGTGGTCCACCTGCTTTATCTGTGCAGATTCACCTTACGTTGTCTTCCTTGAAGGATCTGTGTTTGATTTTTAGTAAAAATTGAGTCAGGTTACTTAATCTTTGGCATAACTTTTTCCTTTTTTTAAGGTTAAGGAATATACCGTGGGTTATAAATCAAGGGATTGTGTTCTCAAATGGTGCCTCTTTTTTGAAGACCATATTAAAAACTTTGCTAGAAATTTTAGTTTATTTAGTTCTTAAACTACTCTAGGGAGGTACTGCAGGTTAGCAAGAGAAAAACAAATTCATAAGTTACATAACTTGCCCAGGATTATGCAGCTAATGGGAAACAGAAACAATGCTCAAATCCAGGCTGAAATGAATCTAAAGTCAGTACATTTTACCTACTAAATCCTCTCTCCTAACTAATACCCACAGAAAGGTTTACCGCAGCTGTGTTTATTTTTCTCTATCTTCTGCTAACCAAATTATGCTTTCTTTCTCTGCTTATAAGGCACTGAGAATAAGAGGCCTGAAAAACAGCAATAACAACAGTAAATCCTCTTGCTGCCTTCTTTCCCGAAGCAGTTCTGTGTTGCTTAATTTCAAATTTACAAAAGCAGCAATGAGACTTCGAAAGCATCTAGAAATAAATAGATGTTTAACACCCTACCTTTTCAGATGTCATTTCTATTTGGGGGGCGGGTCTTCCTTTATTTGGTGCCTGTCTTCCCAGTTCATTATCTAAATAAAAATGAAATGAGATAACCATTGTGACTAAATAGAAACACTGCATTAAAATTACTAGGTGAGGGGCAATGCCTGTGGCTCAAAGGAGTAGAGCGCTGGCCCCATATGCCAGAGGTGGTGGGTTCAAACCCAGCCCCGGCCAAAAAAAAAAAAAGAG